TTTCGTACTGGTGTGGAGGGGATGGCTGGAGGCAACACAAGGGGAGGAATATAAATCATACCAAAATAGGCAAGCCGAGCTGTCAGTACTGAAGGGTTATCTACATGAGGGGACCAGGTAGTTATCCCCCCCTTAAGAAATAAAATGTTAGAGACACTTCACGAGGGCCACCCTGGAATAGTCTGGATGAAAGCCCTAGCCAGAAGTTATGTATGGTGGCCGGGTATGGATAAGAAGATAGTAACCTGGGTCGCCACTTGTACACTTTGCCAAGAATCCAGGCCAGTGTCCCCCACCACAAGACCCAGAAAATGGGAAACACCCACCACACCATGGGCCTGAATACAGGTCGATTTTGCAGGGCCCTGACAGGAACAGACATTCCTGATAGTCGTCGACACTTATTCAAAGTGGCTGGAAGTAAACCTAATGCAATCCACCACATAAGAGGCAACAATTAAGGCACTCAGGTCCCTGTTCGCCACTCATGGACTACCAGATGTCCTCATCTCAGACAACAGCCCACAGTTCACCTCGAAGCCGTTTGAGGCCTTCCTAGCTGAACTGGGGATTCGGCACACACTGTCAGCACTGGCACACCCAGCCACGAATGGTCAAGCAGAGGTAATGGTCCGGGCCACTAAGGAAATGCTACAGCATATGGGCCAGGGGGACTGGCAGGAGAGGATCGATAAAATACTCCTCGCCCAACACATTACACCCCACACTACAACACATCGCAGCCCGGCAGAACTTTTAATGGGTCGATGGCTGCGGACCGTACTAGATCGGGTCCATCCCAACTACAGCACAGAAACACCCCCAGACTCCACGGGGAAATGCAGACAATTCACAAATAGAGGACCTGGTCTATGCACACAGTTACACCAGGGGACCAACATGGGTGCCAGTGAGGGTCGTCGAAAACACAGGCTGTGGTCCTACAGAGTAGAGATGGAGGAAGGGACGCTATGGGAGTGACACATTGATTAGCTACGGGGCTGGGTCCTGAGCACAGACAACCGGCCAATCACCCGACACACAACAACTGAACAACATAGGCCACAAACACCAACCCCTCAGGCACAAACCCCCGAACAACAACAACAAAGACATCTTATCTTACGAAGAGGAAGTCCTGCGGGGTCCTTCTGAGGCCTCAGGCTCAACGGTCCCTACCGCACCAGTAACAAGTTTCAAGACGATTCCACTGGTGGGGACTGGAGCAGCAGCAGACCCATCCGCTCGGGCCACCGCTCCAGGAACAAGTTAGGTGCGCAGGTCCAGTCGCACCCCTCGAAGCCCCACCTGCTTACATGATTACGTAAGGTAGGTGGGCACTGATTGGAGGAACATTAACTAGGAGGGGAGGGGTGTTGTATATGCCCAAATATGGCCAAGGAGTGGAGTCAGCTAATAGACTCCACTCATTGGCCCAGCTGCTGGCGCCTGCCATGGCTGAGTGGCCTTTTCCTAGACTAAGAGAAATACAGATTGATTACCAGTTCCCGCATCCTGCCTCTCCTTTATCGTGCAGAAAACCACTGATTTGACAATCATTCTTTACCTGAGGGGTTATAGGAAAAGCTGTTTTATTGTCAGACTTGACTACATGAAGATTTAATTTTAATCCCAACTCTAGCATGACTGATCCTGGCCCAGTCACTTAGGGCTGATCCTCAGATCCTGCTAACTGTGCTGCAAAGATGCTGCACTAACCCATGTTTCTCATCCTTGGGAACTTTAAGATATGTGGGCTTCAACTCCCAGAAATCCCCAGCCAGTATAGCTCCCTATCAAAAACTAAAACAGCAAAGAAAGCTGTATCAAAGCTAAACATATTAAAAACATTTTAAACAACCTGGTGCCAAGTCAGACTTCTAATGTAGGATCCACTGCAGCACTTGGGGGGTGGGGGTGGGGGAAGCTAGGTCTTCAAAGCTTTATGAAAGGCCAGGAGGGTAGAGGACTGCCTAGCTTTGGGGGCGGGGACAGAGTGTTCCATAGGGCAGGGGCTGCCACAGAAAAGGCACACTTCCTAACTCTCATCAGATGGCAATATTTAGAGGAAGGGACTACGAGTATTTGACCAGGTAGATGTTCCTAGGAGAGGCAGTCCCACAGATAACCTGACCTTGTGCCATAAAGATGATGACCAGCACCTTGAATTGCATTTGGAAGAAAACTGGGAGCCAATGCAACTCACACAGCAAAAGTGTTACATGGGCAAATCTAGGCGGCCCTATTCCTGTGTCCGTTGCTTCATTCTGGACCAGATGAAGTTTCCAAGTGGTCTTCGAGGGCAGCCCCATGTAGCGTACATTCATCAAGCACAAGGAACCAGAAGGACTCTGGAAACAGATCCTAGTAGTTTCCTTAATATTGTTCTCCTATTTATAAGAATCTCCCCAGGCTAACTGCATTCTGTCAGGAATAGGCAGATAAAGGCGTCAGGAATCTAGTCGGAGATTCCACCACATCATTGCAGTAGAAAAGAATCACTATTGTATAAAGCATCTGTTTAGAAAATGAGTACATCAGGGAGCAGGGTTGAGAATACAGGAAAGGGGGAAATCATCTGAGGCTGGTTTATATTTCTGTGTTCCTGTTTTTAGTTGCTCCTTATGCCCTCATTTGCCATGAGATTTTGCTAAATGACAGTTCCTGTTCCTTCTTCTTTGGAAAAGAAACAGAAGGTGCTCATAGACCAAGATGAAAGGGGAACCAGACAGGAACCTGGGTATTACTGAATGCTCTGCATTTCATTCCAGATTGAACCCTATCAACAATCAATTACCTGTGCCCAAATGTCAGGTATAATTTTCTTTAATATTTTCAATCATATGGGGTCATCGATGAATGAAAATTCAATTTTTTGCAGTTCTGGGCAAATGAAATGAAAAACACACGGAAGCTCAGTAAAATGGCTTTGTTCTCTAGGAGAATATCAGACAGCATCAATAATCAGTGGATAATATTCCAATGTTTTATTAATTCATCTGAAATATTTTTATATGCCCTTCCTCAGATGATGCCAGGATAATTTAGAAAAAATAATTGTAATAAAATTAGAGAATCTGGAACAATAAATACTTTGAAGTAAAGGCAAAATAAAAAAGCAGGTATTTAATAAGCCTGTCTTAAATGAAAATGCAAATCATAGGTTTTGAACTCCTACAGTAACAGATGGAAGTTTGTTTTTCAATTTAAGTTCCTTAATAGAAATGCCTTTTTTCTTGAATTACATAAGATTCAGCCTCAGTGTATTGGTTCTGATCAACCCACTATTAAATTGTTAACCCTTAGTTACTGAGGTGAAATGGAAAAATAACACTGAATGTTGTCAGAATCACCCTGACGCTTCATGCCAAACTTCCCAATTATCTTTTTCACCTAGTGACAAGGTAGAGATCAAAGGCTCTTCCAACAGAAATGTTACAATGGTGAAGGGCCTTTCCAAACAATTTTAATGAGTTTGTGCTGATAGCCATACCCCCATCCATTGCATGGAAGAGGTGGCTACCTGTTGGAAAATCCCAAAATCAGTGGTGACTTGTTGGAAAATCCAGAATGCTCAACTTTTTCACTTGCCTTAATCAGGATTCTTCCCCGGCACTTTTACCAAACACACATTTCTATTGGAGGCTTCCTCTTTTCTGGAGTGCAGATTGAGTCACATCCTTTTCATTTGGGAACTAATTCTTCTGCTGTAGCTGGATTTACAGTTTAGCCTCTTAAGGCCGCATCTTCTTTAGACAGCCACTTTCATCTTTTAATGGACTTGAGATCTCCAGCTCTACAGAGGATAAATCACATAAGACTGAATTATTGCAGATCTAATAAGCAAAAAGCATCCCTACCATGTACCCAGTCTTTTTTTCATCCGTGACTTTTCCAATCAAAAGTCATAGAAAGTTTTACAGCCACTAGTCTCACTTTTAGAAATCATATTTTTCGTCTCCAAATTTGGCAATTGAGATTGGAGTTTTAAATCATCAGAGAGAGAAAATAAAATGAGAAATATAAGGGTTTTTTTTTTCCTGTTAAGTGTCATGTCCTGGATGTAAAAATATTTTTCACCACTGTGGTAGCAGCCTCTCAAATAGGGCCATGCTTAATTACTTAGATAATAATATCCTTTCTGTATATCCTATCCTAATATCCTATCCTTCACAACAACAACAACAACCACCAAAATAATCCCAAAAACAAAACTATTTATACCTGGGAGACTTAAAGCTTTACCTTCAGTGGTGCTGGAAGGGGAATCGGGCAACAACATATATTTCTAAGATCGTATCTGCCATTGCACAGAGAGTGTAGGTGAATCTACATCACACCTTCAGTTGACTTACCCATTATATGATACCTGGCTATCTCACCTTCTTGTTCACCAGTTGGGCTGATTTATGTGAGAGAAATTGCTCTTTTTCTTAATGGATGATTCCTGAGAAATTTCTTTAAAAGTTGCAAAATTTCTGTTCAGTGTTGATAGCTATAAGGAGACACTGCCTTTAAATAGGATGTGATTGATCACTTTTGTTCCAGAAGATCATTAATCATATATTGTGCTTTATATTTTTTAACATTATATTTTTATGGAATTTTATATGGTATGAAATTTTGGCCCAAGATAGTGAATACATTTTTTATTTTTGTAGATTTCTAGATTTTTTTACTTCCCTAGATTCATAGGAGTCATAGGATCACAGGATTGGAAGGGACCGTGGAGGCTTTGTAGTCCAACCTGCTGCCAAAAGCAGGAATCCTTGTTCCATCCCATACAAACAGTTGTCCAATCTTTTCTTGAAAACTTCCAGTGATGGAATACCCACAACTCCAGGATGCAGGTTTTCCCATTGATTGATTATTCTCACTTTCAGGAAATTTCTCCTTTGTTCCAGGCTGGCTATCCCTCTGTTGAGCTTCCACCCACTGCTCCTTGTCCTGCCCTCAGTTTCTATAGAGAGTAAATCACCCCCTATAACAGCCCTTCAGGTATTGGAAGACAGCTATCATGTCACCCCCTAAGCCTTCTCTTCATTAGACTAGACATACCTAGTTTTCTTAGCCATTCATTGTACCAGAACTGACACAGTATTCCAAGTATGGCTCCACTAACGCAATATAAAGCAGTATTATCACTTCCTATGATCTTGATACTATCCTTCTTTTGATGCAGTCTAGGACTACTTCGGGGTTGTTTGTTTTTTGCAGCTTCACCACACTGCTGACCCATACTTGAATGGTGGTTCACCAGAACACCTAGATCCTTTTCACAATTGCTATTATTGAGTCTGGTACCTCCTATTCTATAGCTATGCATTTGGATTTTTTCCTGCCTAAGTGCAGGACCTTCCTTCTGTCACCACTGAACTACATCTTGTTGGATAGGATCCAATGCTCAATCCAGCTAATCCATTTCAACTGAAGTGTCTGAAGTCAAATTATCACTTCTATCTTGAAGCTTTTGTTCCCAGTGGGGATATTAGTGTATAGGCAGCACATATTCAAATCATATGGATCACGTTAAAAAAAACATGGGTGGATGCAGTATTATTTCTTTCTAATCTAAACCATTGGCACCCTCTCTTCTCACAGGCATTAAGAACTTCTTCAGTCTCTCCTGTATTCCGAAATCCATTATTCAAGATATAGTGATTCCCACAGTAAAACAATTGATATAAAATGTGTTCTTTAATGAAAGCTATGCTCCAAAATTTGCATTGGAGAAATGGCTACTGTGTACACTGACACATTTGCTAAACTTTCACTGTCAGTTAAAATCTGAATATCATCAGCCTTCATGGTAGGTTGTCACCCCTTGTTCATATTGCTCTCCCCTTTAATTATTCAGATAGTGAAGGTCACATTTCATAGCACCAGCAGAAAGAATATAGAATGCTTATCTTTCCTATTTTCCTTTCTTACAAATTCACTCTTAGGTCATTCTTTTCTCTGTAAGCTCTTCATATTTGGCTTTTGAAATCTGACAGTCAGTCTTTCTTTGCAGTTAATTTCTGTAACCTAATAATGTAGAAACTGAGGATACAACTGAATGACAAGGACAATATTTTTTTTAAAAAAACAGGAGGAATCAAGGAAAATTTTATGGCAAGGTGGGAATAATAAAACACATAGTAGAGAGAAATCTACTGGAGAAGAAAAAAATAGTATGAATATAATAGAAGAAATATTCAAAAAATTATCTGCCATGACAACATGCATCCTTTCCCTAACTCTCCAAAATGAAAAAATGAAGAACTGTCCCTGCTTCCCCAGGAGTATCAGTCATGTAAGTGTGATGGCCTTTCCAACATCTTAGAATATAGAACAATAGGGTTGGAAGGGACCTTGGGGGTTTTCTAGTCCAATCCCTGCTCAAACAGGGGACCCTACCATTCCAGACAAATGGCTGTCTAATTTCTATTAGAGAGCAAGAAGATAAGCAATTTTATATGATAGGGGATTTGTTTTATCAGTGGTTGGACAAAAAGACATGGTAATATAATAGGTTAGATAATTTTGTAATGGAAGTTCAATAGATTGATATAGAATATATTATAGACATATATAACCATTGGATGAAAATACAATATAAATTTTAAAATAAAATCTGGAATATCTCATATAAAATAGTTTAAATAGTTTAGTCATGGATGATTAATAACTGATAAATATATAAGCATATGTTTGTTTGACAATGTGAAATTTTTTATAAACTGTGAGCAATGACTATGAAAGAATAGCACAAAAGATTTGTAACTAACTGGCACACTATGTATAGAAAATGGAAGATGGTTTTATTTTTTTATGTTTTGTTTGTATATGTTTGTCTTAAAAATAAAAACTTTTATATTAAAAAAAATGGCTGTCTAATCTCTTCTTGAAAATATCCAGTGATGGAGCAACCACAACTTCTGGAGGCAAATTGTTCAACTGATTAATTGTTCTTATTGTCAGGAAATGTCTCTTTAATTCTAAGTTGGATCTCTCTTTGTTAAGCTTCCACCTGTTACTTCTTGTTCAGCCCTCAGGTGCTTTGGAGAATAAGTCAACTCCTTTTTCTCTGTGACAGTCCCTCAAGTACTGGAAGACTGATATCACATCACCCTCTAGTCCTTGTCTTCACTGAACTAGACATACCTAGTCCCCACAATCATTCATCATATAGTTTAACTTCCAGAATCCCTATCACTTTTGTTGCTCTCCTCTGCATTCTTTCTAGGATCTCAACATCTTTTTTGTATTGTGGTCACCAGAATTGGACATGGTATTCCAACTGTAGTCTCACCTGTAAAGTGATGTAAACTATCCTTCTGTTGATTCAACCTAAGACTGCATTAGGGTTTTTTTTGGCAGCTGCAGCACACTAGTGGCTCATACTTAAGTGGTGGTCTACTAGGACAGGAGTCGCCAACCTTGTGGACCTCAAGGACCGCCAAACTCATAATTTAAAATCCCACGGACCACTAATATGAATTTTGACTGATGGTGGCTTGCTGACATTGGTGGTAAAGTCTGTTCCATATTCCAGAGCTACAGTAGTCACAGGACTGGCCCTTTGGTCATCCTGGAGCAGCTGTTCCTCCACCCAGGTGCACCAGCCTGCGATGGACTGGAGCAGCTGCTCCGGGATGACCAAAGAGGCAGTCTTGTGACTACTGCAGCTCTGGAATATGGGACTGACTTTCCCATCATTGTCAGCAAGCCATTCTAGGGTGGATTTCCCTCCCCCACCATTGGTCTTACCTTCCAGTTCCAGCTCATGTGGCCCTACTCAAGGTAAGGTTTGTGCACAGCCGAAGGATGTGGGGCTAGTGAGTGGGTGGGCCATGTGGGCGGTGCAGCCTTGTGTTCTTGCGCAGCCTGGATTAATTGCTTTGGGGGGAGTGCTTTGGGGGTGGACATTTCTCTGAGGACCACCAAAAATTTTTTGTGGACCACCAGTGCTGATCACTGTACCAGGACACCTAGAACAGTTACAGTTGCTACTGTTGAGCCAGGTACCACCTATACCTGTGCATTTGGTTTTTCTTGCCTGTGTGTAGGAGTTTACATTACTTGTCTCAGAATTGCATTTTTTGAGCAGGGTCCAATATTCAAGTCTGTCAAAGTCCTTATGAATTTTGAGTCTATCAAAGACAGAAACCTCCTAGACTGCATATGGGTCGATATAAAAGAAAAAAAGAATGACATTGCCATAGGCCACGTAATCAGAAAAAAATAGATGTCCTTTTTGCCAACCAAGTAACAAATATATGTGGAAACGGAATACATTAGTAATGGGGGATTTCAATTACCCTGACATCAATTGGAAGACTAATTCCGCACCAAGTGAGAAATTGAATAGGTTCTTAACCAACCTCGCTGACAACTTTATTGTCCAAAAGGTAGAGGAGAGAACTAGAGGGACAGCCATATTGGACATAATTCTTACAAACAGAGAAGAAGAGATAAAGGAAACTGCAGAACCTTGGGTGAGAACGATCATGTCATACTAGAATTCAACATAACACAAATACAAGCAATAGAACATAATGATACCAGAGTCCTAGATTTTGAAAGAACATTTTAACAAACTCAGAGAGGAATTAGGAAAGATTCTTTGGATGAAAATCCTTAAGGGGAAAACAATTGAAAAATCTTGGGAAACTCTGAAAAGTACAATCATAAAAGCCCAGACCAGCACAATACCGCTGGGAAAAAAAACAGGAAATCCAAGAAGAAACCAGCATGACAGCACAAAGATCTCTCTGAAAAATTGAAAGAAAAAAAGTACAAGTATAAAAAATGGAAAGAAGGACACATAACTAAGACAGAATATTAGCAGGTAGTCAGAATCTGCAAAGACAAAGTCAGGAAAGCAAAGGTGCAGAATGAACAAAGACTTGCATCAAAAGTAAAAAAAAAAAAATTCTTCCAACATCTAAGTAACAAGAATAAAAATCAAGGAAACAGTCAGTCCACTAAAGAGAGAAGATGGCAAAGAAGTAACAGGCAGCAGAGAGAAAGCAGAGCTGCTTAACTCATTCTTTGCATTGGTCTACACAAAAAGAAACAATAGTCCAACCTACTAAAACGTAACTGTAAAAGACAGGCTAGAAATAAAAGTTAAAATACGCAAAAAAAAAATGGAGAACACCTGTCTGATCTTAATGAATACAAACCACCAGGAACTTACGGATTACATCCCAGAGTTCTAAAGGAGCTGGCAGTGGTCATCTCAGAACCATTGCACCACATCTTTCAAAAATCCTGGAGCACCGGGGAACTACCAGAGGATTGGAAAAGAGCTGATATGGATCCCATCTTCAAAAGAGGGGGATAAAAACAGACCCAGGAAACTACAGACCAATCAGCCTAACATCAATACCCAGGAAGATACTGGAAAAGATAATAAAAAACAGATCTGCCAACATCTAGAAACAAGTAAAGTAATAACTAGCAGTCAGCATGGGTTAAAAACTGATCATGCCAAACCAATCTTATTTCATTCTTCAATATAGTGACTAAATTAGTAGACTGGTGAAATACTGTGGACATAATATACTTAGACTTCAGCAAGGCATTTGACAAAGTAGACCACAACCTACTTCTTGGTAAATTAGAAAAAAGTGGAATAGATAGCACTACCACAGATGGGTTCATAACTGGCTGACAAACAGTACTCAACAAGTAGTCGGGGTGGGATTCTACCGGTTTGGACCAGTTCAGGCGAACTGAATGTTAAATTTGCATCTGGTTCACTGAACTGGTATTTGAACTGACTGGCTGGCCCCACCCACCCCTCCCCTCCCCTCCGCCAGAGTTTCCACACTGCCCATTTTTGATGCAGGTAAGTGCAGGGTCCATGTGGAGGCTCTGGGAGGGGGGAAAATGGGCCTTCCGGAAATACCAGAAGTCCAGAAATGGGCCTGTTTCCAGCTTCCGGAGGTCCTCCCAGAGGCCCGAGGGAAGCCTCCAGACCCTTGGGAAGGCAAAAAATGGCCCTCCCGGAAGTACCGGAAGTCCAGACACGGGCCTGTTTCAGGGGTGGGATTGTACCAGTTTGCACCTATTCACTAGAACCGGTTGTTAACATTCTAAGCAGTTCAGAGAACCGGTTGTTAGAAGAAATTAAGGAAGGCAGGAAGGAAACATTCTGGTGTTGCTTACAGAAACTGCCTCTCCGTTAACCCTTATTACATTCTTGGCAAGACTCGACTTCCTATCTCAGGAACTTCTCTGGAGTTTTCCCCCCCCCCCTTTGCTGGTACTTGGCTTGTGTGGAGTGACCATTCAAAGTTACAATGGCACTGAAAAAAGTGACTTATGACCATTTTTCACACTTACGACTGTTGCAGCATCCCCACAGTCATGAGAGCCCAGACGAGGAGATGCGTGTCTCAATGTGAGTGATATTGAATTGGCCACGCCCAGCCAGTAAGATGACCACCAAGCCACGTCCACCCAGTTACATGACCACCAAGCCATACCCACCAACTAAGCCACGTCCACATAACCGGTTGTTAAAAAATTTGAATCCCACCCCTGGCCTGTTTCCAGCTTCTGCAGGGCCTGCAGATCCCAGGGAGGCTGTTTTGGCCCTCCCAGAGGCGCAAAGGAAGCCCCCTGACCCTTGGGAAGGTGAAAACAGGCCTTCTGGAAATACCGGAGGTCCAGAAACAGGTCTGTTTCTGGCTTCCAGAGGGCCTCCAGAGCCCAGGAGGGGCCGTTTTCGCCCACTCAAGGCCTGAGGAAAGCCTCTGGACACCACTGCATGTTTCCCTCCATGTAGATTTAGTTCCACAAAAGACTACCCACTGAGTGGAATTGGTCAGACAATTATAAATTCATGTGGTATTATTTTACTGTTCTATCTTACCAAGAAGTAGGATGTCATCTATTTCATCAAATGCCTTATTGAAATCTTAGTACACTATGTCCACACTTTCCCTTATCCACTAATTTAGTTATTTTGTCAAAAGAGGTAGTAAAGTTTGTCTGACGTGATCTATTTTTCTAGTAATTGTCTTGTTCATCTTCCCAGGTATTAATGTCAGTCTGATTGGTTTGTAGTTTCCTAGATCCATTTTTTCCTTCCTTTTTGGAAGATGGGAACCACACCAGCTCTTTTCCAGTCCTCCTGGATTTCTCCTGAGCTCCAGGAACTTTGAAAGATTTTGTTCAGTATTTCTGAGAGCCTGTTTGCCATTTCCTTCAGAATCCTGGGATGTAATCCATCTGGTCTAGGTGATTTGAACTTATATAATGTAGATGGAATCCTTCCTTAAACTCTCTCTTAGTTTGTTGAAGTCAACTTTCTTAAAGTCTAAGACAGTAGTTTGACTTTATTTGATTACTTATGCCTGCATTATGTTGAATTCCAGTATGATATGGTCATTCTCCCCCAAAGTTCCTGCAACTTCAAAGTGAAGAAGACATCTATAGATGGAGACTTAGATGAAGCAAGTAAGACCAAAGGAGCGATCTGCTGAGCCGACTGACTGATAAACAGAACTGCAGGTTTTGAAGAACATTGATGAGGATAGCTTGACCAAGATCTAAAAACCCCAGGAAATAGTTATTTTCCCTCTTCCCACCTTTCCTAACTATTCAGAAGTGAAGCAACATGAGTTTGTGGGAGGGGAGAGGGAGGAAAGGGAAGGAATCAAAGGGAGATGGAATTGTCTCTTGATTGTCTGTAGAACATTTATGTAAAGTTTGCTAAACTAAAGGCCACTTCATCCATTGGAATAATACACAGATTATCTACCTTAACACTAAACACTGTAATTTAGAGACAAAGAGCATGTTTGCACGTCTAGAAAGTTTCTGTATATTATTCCCACTGTCCAACAAGGATGATGTAATATTTGTGATTTGGTGACTAACAGTCTCTGTTCAAAGAAAAAGAGTTTAGCAATATTTTCTATTCATAGTTCATTTTGAGAAAGATGTTGAAATGAGATTACTATTCTAGAATTCAATACATTTTATTTTTTTCCTCTCCCAAGAACAAGACTTCAAGTTTTGTTGGGTTCATAGGGACTGAGATGATGTACCACTGGTTGCTTTTCTAGAAAACATTGGAAGTTTATATCATTCTATTCTTCTACTGTTTGTCGCACATTCATTGTCTCCAATGTCAGGGTGTGGTCTAGGATGAGCAGAATTTAAGTGTTTTAAATTAATCAAAGCAAATCAATTAATTCATCTTAATAACCTGCACTTGTTTTGAAATTTTGCCGCTTTTTGGTTATAGTCATGTATGCTGCATGCTTATTTTGTAGTAATTGTTCACAAAACAATTAGTGGTCTCCTTTGAGGTGGTGATGAGTCTGCATATAGATGGGAGGTTGAACAACTAGTCCTATGGTGCAGCTGGAACACTCTGAAGATGAACATACTTAAAACTATAGAGGTGAGAATGAATTTTAGGAATTCTACTCTACCATCTCTTACTATATTTGACAGCACTGCATCAACAGTGGAGTCCTTCAAGTTTTGGGGTTCTATAATCTCCCAGGATTTGAAATGGACACTTAACATTAGAACCATCATTATAAAGGCACAACAAAGAATGTTCTTCCTGTGTCAACTTAGGAAGTTCAAACTGCCCCAGGAGCTGTTCATACAATTCTGCAGAAGAATTATTGAGTCTGTCTGTCACCTGTACTTCTATAACTGACTGGTTTGGTACAGCAGCTAAATAGGACAGGTACTTCAATGGATAGTTAGAACTGCAGAAAAAATAATTGCAACCAGCCTCCTTTCCGTAGAAGACCTGTATATTGTGTGGGTCAGAAGGAGGGCTGAGAAAATATCTACAGACCCCACATCCTGGACATAAACTGTTTCAACTCCTCTACTGAAGATGCTGTTGTAGGATACTGCATGCCAAAACAACTAGCCACAGAGACATATTTTCCCCCTCGTACCATCACTCTGCTGAACACTTAATCCTCACAGTAAATATACTTATATCTAAATATATATTTACCCATATAGTATGGCTGTAGTATTATTATTATCCTACTTATCTTCTTTATTACCTCCTCTTATTGATATTATTATGATTATTATTACACTGTTGCTTTGCATGTACACTGCTGCTGTGCCGGAGAGAAATTCCTTGTGTGTCTAATCACACTTAGCCAAATAAAATAAAATAAAAATACTGAGAAGGTAGACATATTCCATTTAAAAAACAAAACATCCAAATGTATTATGTTTCTATTGATGAGAACTTCAGAAAAAAAGAAGTGAAAAGTTGAAAGAACAAAGATAATATAGCAACTTTTACAGACTGAGTGGAAACAATTTTGCAAAGATAGAAAGATATGCAGAGAATGATATTAGTGTAAACTATTTTTAACTGTTTCCTTTCCTTTTGTTTTATCTTTCGCATTTGATTTATTACTTCTCACTCTTTTTCTGCACTTTCTATAATGTTGGTTAACCCAAATGGGAAATGTCATGGGTATGATTGATATGATTTTGATAAATTGTTCACTGATGCATTTCTACAGTTAAACCTGTCTTTGGAGCTATTGCAGTATCGTTGTGAATGTTGTTTGCATGCTGGATTGCAGCTGCAGATTCAGAGATGAAATTTACATACTCAAAATAGTTATAGCTTTGGGTGATATACAAAGACAGATCACTCTAGTTACTCATTTTGCTGGGGATGGAAAGGTTTAGGTTTCTTTAAAAAAATAAAGGGCCCAACTGAGGTTGGAAAAAGAAGGGCACATAATTATTTACTGCAGTCTCTGATTAATCTTTGGAATTTACCAAAACTGAAAGGAAAGAAAATAGGGGAAGCCTATTACTTCAATGGAAAATGTATATCCAATAGTTTTTTTGTTTAATCTGTTTCAGTGCTATGCTAAAGTCTCATTGTTTAATATTTCTTGGTACAAGTTAGGTGATTGTGTATAAGTCCAGCTTTTACTTGGAATCTCAGGCTATACATTAAATGATAGGGTTTTTTCCCTTAGAAATTACCTGTATTCTGTAAGAGGATTTGGAACTTTCTGCCTAGTATCTCTTCCTATGGGGACTGGCTATTTGCAGTCTGTCTGGAACACTGTATTTTTCTTTTATACTGAAACTGATACATCAACAGCTCTATAGTTTAATGTTACCAACATTGACACATTTTAATATTTAAAATTTAAAAGGGGATTTTATGTTTTTCTTTTCTTTTAAAATAAATATTCATTTTGTTTATCTCTTATGATATTGGGCTGTGCCCAAGAGGAAGGACTTGAATCCTATAAACCAAAACCCTCTATGATAAGTGGCCCAGATTTGGCATTATAGAAATTATTTCAGTGTTTGCATTTTTAATTACCAGAAAGTCAGTACAGGTTGTGAAAGCCTTAACACACTGGGGTTAGGGAGAAGGAAGATAGTTGCTGGTAGCAAGAGTTACCAAGCTGCTATCACAAAGCAGGAGGCAGGGATAGTAGGTGAAGACCCCAGTGGGTTCTGAGAGAGGAAATTTGAGACCTGGACTCAACCATATACTATACAGATAGTCCTCACTTAATGACCCTAATTGGGACCAATAACTTTATTGCGACACGGTGGTTAAATGAAACATAAGATTAAAGAACGTCTTACTTTCACTCATAAGAACAATCTGATTTTTTGCCAAAAAGACAATAGAGGGAATGTGAGAAAGATCTTGAATGTTATTGGATATTTACAATACCACAAAGGGGAGCAAGCAGCTTTAATATTTCTGAATGCAAAGAAAGCTTTTGTTGATTTAAGATTTTGGAAGATATAGAGTCAGAGAGAAATGTATTCAAGAGGTTCAAGTGATACATCACAGCAAGCAAAATACTATTAATAATAGAGACTTAATCAAGCCTTGTAAAATTCAAAAGGGCATGAGACAAGGAATCTCCTTTGTTGAATATATTAGTGTTGAAAGTTTTGACTAGAAATATTCAAACATGACAAAGGGCATAACAATTTTAAAGAAAGTTTATAAACCAAGAGATTTTGCCGATGACTTAGTTATATTTTTGCAAAGCTGGTATAGGATATTTAATGAAGAAGTTAAATCATTTTGGAGATTTTAAAATAAACAAACAGAAAACAAAATGCCTGTTAAGAACATGGCTGTTCAAGATTATGAAACCTTGACAAGAATGTTGGGTTTTAAGGTGGACAATAAGGTTAAATATCTTGGGATTATACTGACAGACACAAATTGTAAACTGTTTCAAAATAATTTTGTACCTACTTGAAATGGTATAAAAAAGATTTATTAAGATGTGACAATTTGCAGTTTTCCCTTCTTGGCAGAATTTCTGTAATTAAGATGACTGTTCTACTAAAGATGTTGTTAAGTTTGGAGGATGGCATTCAGAGACGAGAGACTCAGTTTTGGTAACAACAGCTCTTTATTAGTAGGTTAAATCAGACTCTGTAAGCTAGCAGCAACAACGGCTCTTTTATAGAGCCTTGCCGAGGCTAGGCAGCCAATGATGCCACTTTGAGTCTCCCGCGCTTGGTTTTAACCAATCGTGGCAGACTCTTAGCAAGACAATCACAAATGTCCTGGCTGACCAATCAGGTAGCAGTTCAAGCGGACCAATGGGAATGCAGGGTTTCAAGCCTGATAATACGGAACACCCCTCCCCTCTTGGTATCGTCCAAGGGGCAGGATGACGTCACGTAAGTAGGCGGGTCTCGGCACCGGCCTACTTGACCTGTGTGCTTCATTCAGTCTCTGGTCATTGGCCGGTTCGGACAGGCTTCGCGTCACTCTCAAGCTTCCCAATGGAACCGCCTGGAAGGGTGAGCCGGGCCTATAGCTGCGACTCCCGCCTGGTTCGCCTGGGTTGGTCGAGTCATTTGCTCTGCTGCTCCCGCCTGGGCTCTCTGGGCTGGTTGAGCTAGTCCGGCTGCTCCTTCCAGGTGAAGCACCCATCTGCCCTGGTTCTGTGTTTTCAGGTGAGTATGGTTGGTTACTTATTTGGCTTCTGCTTGGTGGGTGTTCTGCTTGCGATGAATTTTTTTCTTTTTCAGTGTTTGCAGCTTCGGGGGGGTTTCTTTGTTAAAGTCTGTGCTGGGTAGCCTTGACTGTAGCTGGTCGATGTGGCACTTCCAGCTTCTCCCGTTGGTTGTTTCTAGGCAGTACGACCGGGGGCCGGTTATTTGGGTTATCTGTGCAGGTACCCAAAGGGGGTCCCCAGTGAAGCTTTTGGCAAAGATGGTGTCGCTGATGTTGAATGCGCGATGTCAGCTGGTGGAGCCTGGGGGCTTCTCCGGATTATAGGTGGGGTGTAAGCGGTCTAGTGGTGAACGGGGTCTTCTGCCCATAAGTAGTTCCACTGGGCATTTGTTAGTGGTAGTGTTAGGAGTGATATGTTGTATTAGTAGCATTTTATTGATTTTTTCCTGGATGTTGCCGTCTTCGATTTTTTGTAGTTTTTTTAGTAAATTGAACCATTCGCTCCACCCGCCCATTCGCTGCCGGGTGAGTGGGTGAAGTTAAAGCATGTCTGATGCCACGGGCAGATAAGTATTGTTCGAATGCCAGTGCTGTAAATGTGGCCCAATGTTGGATACTATCACATCTGGCAAACTGTGGGTGGCAAAGAGTTTGTTAAGCTTCATTATGACGGCTTCAGTGGTTGTTTTTTTCATGGTGCAAACTTCCAACCAATTTGAATATGTGTCGACGGTAATCAGAAATGTATGTCCATGAGTGGGGCTGGCAAAATCAAGATGGATTCGTGACCAGGGGCCTCTCGGTGTTTCCCATTCTAGGGGTGGTGCAGCGGGGTGGTGGTGGATCGCGTTTGTTGACAACTGTTGCATGTGACAACCCAAGTTTCAATTTGTTTTTCCATGCCTGGCCACCAAGCGTAACTTCGTGCCAGGGCTTTCATTCGGACGATGCCAGGGTGCCCTTCATGCAGCATGTCTAGTACAGTTTTTTGTAAAGTTTCTGGTATCACCACCTGATCTCCCCACAGTATGCACACTTTTTGAAAAAAAAGTTCAGTTCGCCTGGAGAGGAAGGAGCTGGAGTCTACTTCCATGGTACAGGGTTGGTCTTCGATGTTTACGACTATGCGTACCTTTTGGGCGTCTATGGTTGAGGAATGGCCGATGATGACTGTTTGATGTGTCTCTTCTCTTCGTGCCGGCTCACTGAATCGTTTGGTTCGGCTGTCTCGGTTCCAACTGAAGTTTATATTTTTCAGTGCAGATTCAGATAGCAGACTGCAGATAGATAGATCTCTAAGTGAATCTGTGATTCTGTGAGCAACTCAATTTGCCTGCCTGCTTTGCCTGATTTTGGGTAAAAGTTGCTCTTTTTAAAAATAAAAAATCCAATATTGACATAAATATTTACAATATTTACACACAAATCATGCCCACCCAGTCACGTGACCACCAAGCCACACCCACAAATTAGGCTACGCCCACAGAACCAGTTGTTAAGAAATTTGAATCCCACCCCTGTGTATAAAGGTATTTCAAATCCAGGTAGAAAGGTCATCAGGTCATAAAGAAACTAAAGCAACTGAATGATTGAAGAACATTCTAGATCTAGGTCAAACCAGGCCCTGGCTGTGCCAACATCTAAGAAGGACCAGGCAGACGTGTGAAAGGAGGGTCTTTCTTTTGTCCCAGACTTTGTTTGCTCACCGTCCAGGATCTTTTGTCTATGGAACCATAAGGTGTACAGAGAGAGTTACAGATTGGAACGAGACACTAGATTGTAGTCCAAAAATGCCTGAAAGGAGGTCTTCTGCCAATTATTTCAATTTTTACTACATATGTACTATTTGATTTTTTGGTTAATATCACATA